ATGCGTGTATTACAAGATAATAAGCGAAATATACAATAAATTACTTATCAAAAGAGTAAAATATCTAAATGTAAACTCTAGCGGATAGCATAGCGTCTTATCTGGTTCGACCGATCTTCGAAGAGTCATTGTTGCGGTCAACGTCTAGTTAAGTTAAACGAATATCATCAGAAAAATATTTTAAATTTCATTGTTTCCTCACTCGTCCTTATTGTATGTAAATTCCCGTTTTCAGGGTAAAAAAGTCTTTCATTTTTATTTGTACTACGTCCGGCAATTTGTAGTTATGTGCAAGCATTTGAAATAACAAACAAAAAAATAACATTATCCTTAGGTCTCCATTTATTTACGCAGTGACAGCGGCAAAGAGTAGAAGAGATAGAGAGAAAGAGAGAGAGAGAGAGAGAGAGAGAGAGAGAGAGAGAGAAGATAGGAAGAAGTTTACGACAGCGCTGGCTAAAGATATTAACATTGTAAGCGCGCGCGTTTATCGTTGAAAAATCATTTTGTGTTGTTGGCATTTAGCAAATTATTTCACACCCTCTTGTGGCCGAAAAGAAGCATAGAACAAAACAATGAACTGAATGGGATTCGCTTAAATAAAGTTCATTAAATTAAAAGGTGAAGAAACAATAACAACAGCACCAGCAACAGAAGAAAACAAAAAATTTCAACAATTTGCGGAAGCATTACCGAGAGTTGTAATAATTGCATTTAGTTACTTTCAACCGATTAAACTTCCCAGAGAATAAGTGAACTGAAGCAGAAAAATTCGGATTATTTTTTTTTTTGATTGTTTTATTCTTTTGTATCGTTTTGCCTCTTGGCATATTAGTGCATGTTTCTTAGAATAGATTCTGACTTTAAGTTTTCAATATTTATTTCATAAGCAATGCTTCGAGTTGTTAGTTGGTTGTAGAACATAACAATAATTGTGCATTGTTCGCGCAGTTCCTATAACAATTATTACCACACAGCGAGAAATAAATAAACAAACAAACAAACAAACACATTCTCTACAACTACAATTAGGCGAAATGCATGAAACATGCAAAAGCCGTAAACAGTTAGCCGCAGAAAGCCAGGATAACAGCGAGGTAAGTAGGGAAGAATGCTTCACATAGATGAATATCCTGAATAGCATGCAAATTTTCAATATTTTCATCGTGCACTCACTCATTCATGTATACACAAAATAAACCACACATGCGAACTCATTCGACTTGAAGCGCTCTAATGTTATTCTATATATATATATATATGCATATGCATATGCATAAATATGTTAAGTACATAAGCATGTGCTTGTTTAGTTTACAAATTTCAATCCTTTAGCTTCATTATACATATACATATGTTTAAGTACAGGATATGTATATATATATGTATATATGTTCACCATTAATACGTAAGAAGTAGGTCTACTCTTTTTCTCGGTACTTACAAATGTTATTCCTATCAAAGTGGCCGTTGAAAAACACTTGATTGTGTTGAAGTGTAATATAGGCTTCACTTGTTTTCAACGAACCTTGTGCTATGCACATATACGCATATATACGTATGTAAGTATTTTTGTTTTCATATATGATTATTGTTTTACTTTTCAGCTCTTTAGTGCAATAAATGAACAAACGAATGAATGAAATGTTAAACAATCAACTTTAAAGTGTTGAAAATTTTATGTACAATAAGGAATTTCCAATAAAATAAAAACAAAGCATTTTATAGGGACTTCAATCAATATTCAAGATTTTGCTCAATTTAATAACATTTTTAAAGCATTTAATAGAAATATTTTGCAGAGCATAAGCAAAGCGTCTTTCACTATAGCAAAAACTTTTTTCTTCCAATTAAATCGGTTCCTTTCATAATGATTTCTATAACATTTTGCGTAGCTGATGTTTGATTTATTTTTTCCCATGGCTTATGAATTTAGATTTCGGCAAACAACTAACTACTCGAGTTTTCTCTAAAATCTTCAATTAGTTGTAAATTATTGAGACCATCCCCTGTACCTCTTTGAATATAAGTCTTTATTGCAAAGTCCCTAGATCGAGTTTCAGTCTGTTAACTAAACAACTTCACAGATTGTATTCGTTAAGAGGAGGGCTTGATTGTGTTAACACACCGATAAGGAAATTTTCTGCACTAAATCGGATATAGAAACTTTGGTTTCAAACTCCTCTGTTGCAGGGTATTTCTGGTGTCAATCTGGCCAGTTTATAAGAATTAGTTAAGCGTTCCTAAGATGTCTTTACTTCAGTTTCACTTTAAAAATTCTTTTATTATTATTATTAAATACAGATATATATATATAGTTATACAAATAGCCTAAAAGGTGTGAGCTGGCATCCGGCGGCCGCCTATAATAGTCGAGGTAAGCGACTATCTCTGGTATGGCTGCCTTCCACAGTAGAATTTGGCATGTCCGAGGTAAAAATTCCGGCCGCACAGACATTTCCAAGCCCATTTACCAGTTCTATCTCTCTAGGGCACTTTTATACTATCATGATCGTAGAGGAAAGTCACCTTTGTATAGATCTCCTTGCTTTTTTTCATATTTTTTCAGACGGGAGACGGGTTTCAGAGGCGAAGCCTTGTCCGGCTCTGGAGAAAAATCAATCACTTTGCTGTAAACTCTCTTGGTTCATTCTAGGGGGACCACTACAAAGCAATTCCTTCAAAACGATTACGCCTTTTACAATTTTTCAACGTAAATACGAGAAATACCTAACTGAATAAATGAATTGGTTTCCTAACAAAAATCTAAGCATAACTTTTTTTTTAGTTAAACAATTCTTTGCGATGCGGTCTAAATTCAAAATACGACATCATATATATATATATATATATATATACATATATACGGACGATAAAATGTGCGATGTGAAGACAATCGGTGGAGGAGTAAACTGTTTATAGAGCGCTCGCCGTACATTATTTTATTTGTAGGCACGCCTCCTCAATGGGTTTCTTATCTTAACTGGATTTCAAACAACTCGTCTTCTAACCGACGTGGATGGATTGATTGCTTTTAGTATTTCACAACCCTGCGACGATATTTCACCAGTGCTTCCGTGTTTCTTTCTTTAAAACTTTCTCACAGTCGGCGCCTCTTAGTTGGAAGACTTCTCCTTTTCGCTCTCTCCTCAGTGCTCTACGAAAAAATGCATTCTTAGTTCCAGGGAGAGTGAGCGCATAAAATGGACTCGTTCAAAAAAAAAAGCACATCCATTGAAAATTCGAAACTTGATTTATTTGATTTAATTTCATTTATTTTGATTAAATTTTTTTTTTTTTTTATATATATACACATACATACAGAAAACTAATTATACATACACAAGATATATTTCTAAAATTAACAGAAAACAATTTTTATTTTTTTTTTTTGTTTTTTTATTATTTTGAGTCTCAAAATTATTTATGAAAACTACACAAAACAACGCGTTAATGCATTTGTTTCAACAAAAATATTTTTACATATAAAATAAATACAAATTGTTTTTTTTTTTTTTGTTTTTTAGTTAAACATTAGGAACAATTAATTAATTAATTATACATGTATAATAGATACATAAATAAGTACATTAATAAAGTTTGTTAAGTGATTCCAATTTGTATCACAATCAAATGCCAGAAAGTCAAAACCATAACTAATCGAAAATAAAATACATTTTTTTCTTCTTTCGTTGAGATTAGCAACCAAATAGAATATGCTCAGGGTCGTCTATGTGACAAAATCGATTCGAAATTAAATTGATCAAGATTAGATATTTTTTTATAGGACGCTTGTGATTAATATTTCCTGGCTTCAAAATAGATATGTTTATCCATAAGTGCGACATATTGAAGTCTTCTAATCGCGCATATTGCTCTTAAAAAAGCCCTTAAAGGTACGAATATTTCGATTAACATAAATTAATTTTGAAAGTTTGCTATAGAAAGTATTTTTTAATTTTATTTAGACTCATAAGGTAACCTGAAGCCACTCAAAGAAAAGAGTGATAGTGTATTGCTTAGAGGAAATCAGAAACACGGACTATACCCCCAAGTGTTGAATTCCCATACCTGACCGTCACAACTAGAAGAGCTGCTAAAAAGTGAAGACGTTTCTTAACGAGTGTCGTTTTCGAAACCTTAGGTAACATCTTGTGGTCCTTTATATAGAGTAAACCAGATCAGAATTTGATTCTCTTACTCGGCAACAATTTCACGCTCGAAACACCTTTTCTTCTATACTAAGAAAAATGCATACTTATCGATCGAGTTTACTCGATATAGAGAATCATAAACCGGCGCCAGCTCTTTGAGACAATTTTGGCCGCCTTTGTCAGAACCTTAAACCGCGGGCGTACTGTTCCCCAAATTTGTACGACAAACTAACTTAAGAGGCACCTCGCCTCTAAAAACAAATCAAAATTGTTCAATACATTTCTTTGTAAAGACGTTCCGGCTGATTAGAAAGGCAGCTATAACAAGCTGCGGCGTCAAATAATTATTATCACACAAGCTCGAAAGAAGCAAAAGGAAAATTAGCCCTAAACCGCGAGAAAACTTTGCACAATTAAAAAAGATAGTAAGACCAACTAAACCAGAGTTTAGACTTGCTCGTAACTTCAGTAGACTCCTTTTACTTTATGATTCTTTTTTCTTCTTTCATGCAGCAGTTACTCTTCTTGCTTCTGGAATAGAAATGGATTAACTGATACTAAAACTGAAGATATGTTGAGTCATGTACAAGATTTTTGCTTCTATTTTTAATATTACATCTGTGCTATTATCAACAATATTGTTTAACTCTGTAATATCTGTATACGTCACACTATGCTTGGTTTCGATATTTTCTGGCATTTATTTTCGATAGAAGAGCCAAAAGGCAAAAATTTTTTATTGTTTATTTTTTTGTTTATGCGAAAGTTTTGGAAACTTTTTGATTGCACTTTTCAAATTTGATATTAGTACGAGAGAAGTGTTTAACAGCCGTTAAAGAAGTAAGAAATCAATTTGGTGGACTGCGTGCTGGCGGTGGAGCATGTTGATGATGTTGCGGCACTTGATACGGACTGAAACGTTGAAAATGCTTTGTACGTAGATCTGGCGAAGGGGAACCAGACGACGACGGAGTAGTAGCGGGCGGTGGAGGAGGGGGTGGCGTACGATTCGAATTAGCTACGGCAGCAGCAGCTGCTGCATTGGCAGCTGCTTGAGCGGCAGCAGCCTGTTGATTAGCCAAAAAGCCGGCAGTTAATTGAGGCCATTGCTGTTGCCAAATGCCCAAATTGAAGGCGCTTAAAGCAGCAGCAGCCGGTGGCCTTTGATATAGCTGCGGCAGCAACATTTCCGTATAGGGAGTTCTGCCGAACATTTGCAAATGTTGACGAGCCTTCTCCAAGAAAGCCAAAGATGCAGCATCGGTTTCTTGGGGCGACAACTGCTGCATCAAAGGATCCGGAAAGAAACGCAATGGCGATCGTAAATGTTGCTCGAATAAATACGAATCCATAGGGTCTCTGAAAAAAAAAAAAAAATTTGATAAGTAATAGAGCTTCTGCTTATGTTATCAAGTAATTTATCAGGCGATGGTAATAAATCTTTTAAGTATGTTCCTATTAGAGATCATTAGAATTGATTTTCCTAATTTTATGGCAATATCGGGCATTAGCTAGACAAGACATGATAGTGTTTTAAAGGATTTTCAAATGGTCCTTTCTCTCCTATAAAAGTGTTTGTTTTTTGTCGCATCCCACGTATACATACTATTCTGCTCAATCTATATAGAATTGAATTCATTTCATATAGATTTACTTCATTTTGTATAGATGTGTAAATGATGCCAAGTTTTTGCTTTCCAGATGAAGATAATTATTGTACTAATCGTAAATCGTTTATGTGTGTTACGAAAGTGAAGTTAAGTGAAAAGTGCCTTGAATCTATATGAATTGTGCGGCGATTTTTCCCGATCCTTTAACGAGTGCGATAAAAGAATCACTAATTCCTGGCAACATGTTGCCATAAACATTTTGCATATATTGCATGCATGCATGTATATAATTACACAATAGCGCAAGTATCGTTTTCAAATTATTAAAAGCAATTTTCTTATCCCTCTGTACCTCTCGTTCTCCTTTTTCGTTCTCCTTCCTCTCGTTTTTCTTCGGCTCAATTGTAAGTCATAAAATTTCTCTATGTTACCTCTACGGGATAATATTTTCATAAATAATAATATTAACTGCAACAACAACAATGCTAGCAACAGCAGAACCGAAGAAAAAACTTTAATAATAATAACAACAACAATAACAAAGTCATTCACAATTTACTCATTATTATCGTGTTTTCATGTACGAATATGCATCAAAGTTAAATACGCCGACCTATAATTTACGCCACTTAAAACACTGCCGACGCCACCATCAACAGCAACAATACAATACAACACCAGAACCGCTGCAGTAACTACTGTATTCCTTATATATATATGTAAATATCCGTTTATGTGAATGTGTTTGCTTGTATGCATGTATATGTTTATTTGCGTCTATAAGCTTGTGTCTTTTACTTAAGTGTTCATGCAACAATTTTCTGAACGAAAAAGTAACGAAAAATATAAAAATTAAAAAAAAACAACAACAACAACGGAAAAGAAAAAGAAGGGGTTCAGAATCCTTTTCGTGTTTTGTTATTTTGCTTCGCCTGTTTTTCTTTCTCGTCCTACGTTTCACACCTGCATTCTCCGGCTCAGTGTTTCGGTTCACAGTAAGTTGCCTTTTAGTCTGCCATCGTTTTCACTTACCAAAGTAAGTCCAATATGAGGATATTGTTATTAACCAAAGCAATAGAAAGGCGTTCATCTCACCGCTCACATTTCATTCGATTCAAACAGTCAGCCAACTCAAACCATCATCCATTCACACTTGAATATTGTGCGTGTTTTCATTTTTATAATATTTCTCAATTTCGTTGCGATGGTTTATTATAATAATAAACAACTTAAGAAAGATACAGAATTGTGCAGGTTTTCTTCTTTTTTTTTTTGTTTTTTTTGTTTGCGTTTTGTGAAAGAGCAATTTCAGTGGCATGTGAATTTTGTGATTTTTTATTTTTTACTTCCTTCTCAGGAAAAAGAAAAACACAAAAATAAATGCTGAACATTCAACACTTTCGGCAGCCCATTATAACACCACCTAATTGTTGTTGAAATTATGTTTATTGCTGTTGAATGATTGCAAAACACTCTGCCATGTTACTGTCGAACTAAAGATAATAATAATGATGTTTTTCCTATTCTATACTTATATTGGAGATTTGGTTTCATTAAAAACCCATATATATATATATATGCACGTGATGATACATGATAATATGCAGCAATTAAAATTGTTCTGGAAAGGCAAAGTTTCTCATTTCTAAAATCGACATTTGCTCTTACCTATCGAAATCCGTTAAACGTGACGAATCACGAAATCCTTTAGCGAACGGATTAGAATCAATTTTCAGTTTAGTTATCAACTGATTTTGATAGGCTGTAACTGCCGTGAACACAGTCTCTGGAAATACAAATGTTTTATGATCCATTTCTTGCAGTTCCTTGGGTGTATTCGGTATAGTCTGGCCATGACTTAAACGCACCAAATGTATACGCGGTTGATAACGATGCATTGAATTCAATACAATCTATAAATGAAAGCCATCCAGCAGCATTAATAAAAAATAGAAAAAAATCATTTCAACTGTTTTATTATATGTGCATATGCATGTAGTGCTCGACACTACCGCTAACAACATAAGTGTATATATTAGAAGCGTAAAAAATATCAAGTCTGAAAAATGAATAAAGCTAAAATTTATATTTATTGTTGACATTCATTCAACTCATCTATGAATGCTTCATTTGCCAAAACGATTAACTCCGTAGATCCAAAAGCACAGCGAAGTGATGGAATTGTTTATTTACATTTTCTTATACCATGTGTTTGATAAAGAGAGAAAACGATTTTTTTTTATACTCTCCGTCTCGTCTAATACAAGGGTATACTAGGTTTGTGCGGATATATTCAACATCCAAAAGGAGTTGACATAGACCTCCGTCTGTCACTACATCCGTCTCCTTTGTTTCCTTTTTCAAACATTTTGATACAGATAAACATAAGTAAGATCTAAGTTTGTCTGTCCGTCTGTCCATCCGTCCAACCTGTTGTGCTCGCCCTACAGCTTGCATCTTTCGAGATATTTTAATAAAATTTAAATCAAGGACGAAAGCTATAGGAAATGCGTCAGATCAGACCAGTTTTTTGACCACTTCCCGTGTAACGCCTTATTTTGAAAAGGTCTTATATGACTAACTATAGGATATTTAATGCTAAATGGGGTTTTTACCTGTTATTTGATAACAATGCTCTTTAACAAAATTTTTAATACGATTCACATCAATTTACCAATTGGTTCCTAAAACAAATTTTTTATTGTTCAATAACCAAAAGGACGCATTTAAAAAGATACAACTTAAAAAAAATAGGAAAAGCAAAGTTAACCGATTTAGCAAGCGTATATAGTTATCGCTATTAGGAATAAACTAAAGAAATCTCTGTTATTAGGCTCAATATTTTCTACGTTTCTTACCACGATAAGCGTTTAGTAGGATTCGTGTTGTCAACTTGCGGAAATTATTTTGCAAATTCATTTACCTGACCGCTTTTATCCATTTCATTATTTGTTAATTTCACTTTTTCAAATGACACAACTTGCTTACGTAAAGCATCCACACTAATTGGACTATCGGGATGGGCATAAAGTCGCGCCGGGGGTGGAGGATCCGCTTTGCCGGCCACCAACCACGATGAACGATGATAAGCGTAACGATAACGCCGTGAATCCATTGGCACTATATCTATAAGCACCGCATAACGATCGGGCGGTTGTATTTGTCTCAATGGTCCCGAAAAGCTAACACGTACCGTGGGAAACATACGTCTGAAAAGCATTAACAATATCAAAGCATTCCTCAAATATAATTTGTATAAACACTTTTTGTTATAAATTTTAAAAAAGTTTTAAAAAATTTTTCATAAATATTTCTCTGTAAACTTATTAAAACTAGTGTGTAGTTTGTAGCTTTCAATCAAGGAAATTTCGATTAAACATTTCTACAAAGCTTTGACTACTTTTTAGAAGGCTTCATTTTTACTCTTCAGAAAAGCTTTTCTGCGAGCGAGTTTTTTATAATTCATTCATTCGCACCTTTCAAGATTGAAAATATTAATATAGAAATTTGGAATGCAACATAGGTGTACCTGGGTCACCCATATAATATATACAATAAGTTGTGAGCCGCATAAGATATCCATGTGATATCTACTGGCGTTTGACATGTCCAAAGTTAAGAGTGAAATTTAGGAAGATTTCCGCATGGTTCAAGCATACATTGTCTAAAATGGATGGACACAAATCGAGTTTGAGCTGACGCGCGCAATGAAGAAAGGCCTATATTCTTCAATGTGTAAAAAATGGTAATCGAAAAAATGTTATAAAGGACTTCCGGGAATTATCCCAATTTTCAAACATTCGTGAATTAAGAAAAACTTTTTAACTTGCAATCAATGCAAACATTACTTCTAAATTTGGATGAAACCAAGGAGGGCCAACTCAATATCAGAAAATTTCTTCTACAAGTAAATAAAACCCTTTCCTCTTTGTTTACAAAACTATAGTGAAAAGGTAAAGAAACTTTTCTGTTTAAATCGGTGGCAGCCTAACTGACGTATATGCCAAATTTCGTATGAAACTCTTCAATAGCTAATGACCGACGCTTATGTACTTGTATTAAAACGAAGGATTTTTCGCTTTGACTTTAGTTCTTTAAACGAGTCAGAGCCTTGTCCTCTGAATGATTATTTTAGTTTTGAAAGGAACCACAAGCTCAGTCAGGGAAATAGAGTTCTTGAGAAGGGCTTAAAAAGACCCAAATGCATTGTGAGAAGATCGCTCATTATGATGCGAAAGCCGAATGTTCTTTGCCTACGGCAAACAGAATATATCGCTTAATTAACATTCGTTGCTTTGACACGATAGCTGAAGAACACCTGGACCTCTTCCCAATTTCTTTAATTTCAGATCATGTTTTTTTTATTTTAGCCGAGGTTTTTAAAGAAATAGCTTTCCATGTTGAACTCGAATATCTCCACTTACAATACATTTGAGCGAAAATTGAAAAAATTAACGCTTTCGAAAATAAGAAGATGGAAAAGGTTTTATGCCTAATATATGCACAACACTGCCGTGAATTAATTACTGAGCTTACACATCATCATGATGTATTTCCTTTGAACTTCAGCAAATATACCCCAACGTCGCGGCTTTAAACTCGTTGATAATTCGCTCATTTAACTTTTGCACGCTTGCAGTAAGATTGAGCCGTTCTTCAAAAAATATATGTTTATGTTTTTGTATAGTTTGTTTTAATATATAAATGATTTGAAAACCAATCAACTACTAAAATATATAATTCACTCATATGGCACTCACAAGAGTAGTGCATTGAAATACAGTTGGTTTATATAAAAATTATTCTCAGGGCTTGTATTGCATTAGTACACCTGTTCGCACCTTCCATGAATTGTCTTCTTTCTTTTCTCTCACATTACGCTTGACAGAATGACCTTCAATTCAAGTCGAATTCGAAAATAATTTCGAAGAAAATATCTTTGTAAAACCTAAGATTTCCATCGATCAATTTACCTGGTTTTGAAAGCTCAAGACAGACTCTTGGAACAAACGTTTTACATACTCTTATTCAAGGCGCTGTTCTTGGTTCATTTTAATACTAATATTAGCATCAAGCATCTAACAGAGTGTTTAGGAAATTTCTTCCCTTTCGTTTGATTCAATGAGGGGATAATTATGAACTCATTTCTCCTTTCGGCGTTTCATGTAAACAATTTAATGATTTTTATTATTTAGTTTTAATAGACGATTTAGGTGATTACGGGAAGTCATTGTTGCCTAACTCATGTAATTGACTGAGAGCCCAAGAGTGCGGTTTAATTCATTTTAGAGCGAAGATATGATATTCACTTTATCATCCGTTGCATTATAGTTGGAAATATTTTACTATATTACAATTGTTTTTTTCGGCCTCAGCATTACAAGTTTGTAACCATGTTCACACAAATTTTTTAAAAGCATTGTTAAACAGTCTTCATAAATGGATCCGCGTACCAGTTAATCTCTCTATCTCTCTATGGTAATCTCATACTATCCATTTTATCGGGTATTAGACGGACTTTGTTATTAAGTCCTAAGCGGGAGGTAGGGCTCAGTATTTTGGGTTAACGTTATTGTCAACATATTACCTCCATAAATAATATATATAAATTATATAATCGGTATTCAATTTCATTCTATCCGACTGGGTGGCCGATTAGGCAAAGAATCTCGATTAAATGTTCAATGATCATATCCCAAGCACGGTAGAGATCCCAATAAACCTGATAACATTTCGATTCCAAGACTTCAGTGATCGAATCTATTCTCAATCTAAATTAATTATAATAATAATAATTTCATTCTCTATATGCGTAACTCTTTTTCCTTTTCTCCTATACGCATAACACGACTGAACTGCATTTCTTTGATATTGAGTGCTTGTCCAGCTAAAATTGTGCATGCAAACAAAGCGAAACACTTATCATCTTATCTTATTTGGAAAATATTTTATCAGACCTTTTATATATTCCTCTTTGCATATATTTTTTCGTTCCTGCTAGATACTAATTTTAAAATTCTTATTGACTTAATGCCGACTTTGTCCGACGTAATTGGAATAGATCTTACGAGTTTTACTGACATAATTCTTTGAGTGTACACATGCTTCTGCATAAGTTCACAACCATATGTACCTATGTATATGTTATATACATGATTATATTCCATAAATATGTATGGATATCATGCAACAGAAACATTAGTCTTGTTGGTTTGCAATGACACTTTTGTTAGCTCGATGGCAGGTGAAAGATATTAAGTTTATCCAATGGGTTAGGAATGGTGTAGAACAAAAGAAAATTTACTCTTTTTTTATTTTAACAGGATATCAAACTAAATAGACTAAAGTGAAACATAGGAATCTATTGCAACATTGGATCAATGACTTAAGAGACAACAACAAATTTCTTACAGGTGCGCTATACGCGTAGTTTTTTTATTTAAATGATAAAGCTAATAATATAATACAATGAAAAATGCGATTAAGCGTAAACTTACTACGTTTTTTCGTAACGAATTACACGGCCATATGACTCTCAGTCACTCACAAGAAACACTATAGCTATCGTTTATAGTTTATAGTCCAAACTTTACGTTCCAGCTTTAAATGTAGCTCAGAGCCACCCCGTGGCAAGGTTTTTTTTTTTTTTTTTTTGGTATGTTGAGCAGAGATGGACTAAGCCAATAGATTTGTGGCAAGGTTAGAATTAAGTAAATCCATAAACAGGATAATACTATTAACCAAAGCATTGAAAATATTTTATGGATTGCTGTTAAACATAACCGGTCTGCACATCTTTCTCTTTTACTTCACAATATATATTATGAGGACATGTCTACCCTTTCTCTACGGACTATCAATAGTAGTAAAATAAATGTTTCTTTTGGGAAAAACATTTAATAAGAGAATCAAGGCCAGTTAATCCAGTAGAGAATCGATATCGAGTTACTTCGATTTTAATTCGATCGAGGCACTGTCACGAACAGTCGCTTTATAGCTGTTGATAAGGTATACATTAGCCTTCCCATGGAGTGAGAAATCCTTCGATTGTAGAAATGCTGTCGAGTAACAGATTCAAAATACAATCGTGTCTACTCGGCGTCCATGACTGTAAACTGGCCTAAGTTTTAATTTTTTTAGCGGCAATTGTTTGCTTTTTTAGGCCGTAAGCAGAGCACTCCGCTGTTAATATTTTGTTTACACAGAGCGATACTAGAGGGAAGCGTTTTGTATCACAATTCTATAGTTAACTCTGCGACCAAAAAAGTAGGTGGAAAAAGTTACCAATAGTTTTGTAAAGATTGCAGATCAATTATCAGTTTATCTTACGACACATTTCCTTACCAAAATATGTATATATCGTAAATTCTACGTTTCCTTGTAAAGAGTTCGTATATGCTTTGCTTGAATATTACGTCATCGTAAATTACTACGTAACTTAGTTTACGAGCATTGTACGCATTCACATGAACGCCTTTATTAAGCGAAGCAATTGTGTTGAGCATAATAATGACTGAGTATCTTAAAAATGAAACGTTTCAATTTCAGCGTTTCGTTTTTTTATATGCATGCACGTTTTAATTGCATTTGTGTTTGTTTTTCGGTAAAGTTGCTATTCTTGTCTTGTTTTGATAAATAAACGAGAACGATGTAAAAATTGCAGCGTAATGATAGTAGATTACCTTACTAACGCGGTTAACAATCAAATTTCGGTGCTTTGTCGTTATGCTGCTGGTAGTAGTTATAACTGTTTGTTCTTGTGTTTCTAAATAATTTTCTGCTATAAATATCCTTTAATATCCTAATAAATATGTGTAGTAGCCGGGTTATAATTGCTTTGAAAAAACATGAGCAACTATATTTATATATATATATATATAATAAAATATATGTAGGTATACTAGCCCTATAATTAGACTAAATGTGCGGCAAACAAACAAAAGCAGTAGAAACAAGCGAACACTAATTTCATGTTCAGCTCAGCTTTAAAGTACCGTTGATGATGATGTGTTGTTTAGTACACCTTTATTTACCTTTATAAGTATTGTATATAAATATTAACTGACTACCTTTGCGTATATATATATATATATGTAGAAATATTTATTTATTTATTTTACTTTTTTTTTTTTTTTTTTTTTGTTGTCATTTTTTTTTTTTTTTTTTTTTTTTCAAGTCTTTTCTGCATGCAATTTTGAATGTACTGCCA